AAGCAGATAAACAAACAGAGTCAAATGGTAGGATTGATGTGTAAATATACAAGGGGAGTGGAACGTCAAATGTCTATATGTATGTGAGGCGGATGAGGTTTGGTGAATGGAACGTAAAATTCACGAAATGTGGAACCGAGATGGAATGACTGGGCTTTACAGGAAGGATTTTCACAGATCGATCAATACAGGGACCGTGTCGTACTAGTTCCGCTCTACATGGCCTTCGTTCGGCCACACCTAGAGTACTGTGTATAAGCTTGGTCCCCAGCTCTAAAGAAGGACCACAAGGTTCTGGAGAGGGTGCAGAGGAGGTTCACGCGCATGTTCCCGCACCTTCGGGGAGTGACATGCCGAACGCCTTCAGGGGCTGAACCTGTTCTCATTCAAACGGAGAAAGCTGAGGGGGATCTGATTGAAACTTTCCGTATCTTGACGGGTTTTTCCCATGGAATCTCCCATCTATTCCAGCGGAATGACGTCCCAAACCGAGGGGGGGCACAGCATGAATTCAGACAAGTTCGGGTACTCAAACGCCTGAGGGTCACTTTTTTCCCACCGGGTAATTAATACATGGAACAAACTGCCTCCGGAGGTATTGACGTCTGTTGTGCTCCAAAATAGGTAAGTAGATGAGTACACAATGAATAAAACAACAACCGACAAATATGTAGCCGGTTCGCAACCCGGGGACCAAATAGGAACAAACAACTTGTAGGATGGAAGGAAGGCCGACTTCGGCTCACACGTCGCACTACACTCGAATGCCGTCAAGCCAGCATTCAAACAGTCAGTTATTCGATCAATCAATAAATCTTGCCACAGTCATGACTCAGTCATTTGTAGGCCACAACAGCGTCAAAACCCATTGCCGTGTGCAAGCTGCAGTTTGACACATCCTGGGCATTAAAGTTTCTCGATTGTATTTGCCACTAGGCAAATGTCGCTAATAGCTTGTCCGTCTCCGTCCCCCTCTTTATATTAAGCTCTTATATCCTAAAATACTTCACTTTGCTCTCTCCAACGCCCTCAACTCCATTTTCATTCACTGTTCACCACACATTTTACTGAAACTTCTCAACACCCAGCATCATTACTTTTAGATCGTGTTTCTTCTCCACAACACATCTCTCACTCTAGGTAGCTCGGTTCAGTGTGTTGCGAGCTTTTGCTTTGATCCTGACAAAACCTCAGACGTGTATTGTCACTCCGAGGAACCATCAGAAGTGCGTTTTCTTTTTCCAGAACCGCACTCACTCACGTTTACGTGAACGAAATAACACAATCGTCGCAGTGCCGTGGTGCTCCCAAGCTCATTGGTGCAAAAACTGAACTGCTTCTGGCTCCGTCGCAAGTCATGTGACCTGTTCTGTCCTGTCTTCTAGGCGTCCACTTGTTTTAACTCACTAGCTACAGGTCACATTTGCATCAAGTGGCCATACTTGCTAGTTGATTGTCAGCATGAGTGATCGCGAGGTTCTGGTTTACAATGCCAAGCTCGCAGAGCAGGTGGAGAGATATGACGGTAAGATGAAGCCCAAATGAAGGGATTTTCACATTTATATTTATGAACAATTTTATTATCCTGGCAGAAATGGTGGAGTTGATGAAAAAGGTTGTCGAGGAAGACAAGGAATTGTCGGTAGAGGAAAGAAACTTGCTTTCCGTTGCTTATAAAAATGTTATTGGGGCCAGAAGGACTTCGTGGAGAGTTTTCGGTGGATTAGAGGGCTCTGGACAAATCCGTGCGAACCCCAAGGCGGCTGGACCTTTGAAGCGATACCGCGAGGAGTTAGAATCGGAAATCAATAAGGTTTCCACGGAAATACTGGAGTTGTTGGATAAATACCTCATAAAGCCAAATATCGCGGCAGATTCGCGTGTTTTCTACTTGAAAATGTAAGTGATGCCATTCGGTTGTAAACAGTTTTCATGGCCATTTTAGGAAGGGGGATTATTATCGTTATATGGCTGAGTTCGCTGTTGGTGATCAACGCACAACCGTGGCCACCAAAAGCAACGAAGCATATGAGGAAGCATCAAACATTGCATCCCAGCTTCTTCCGACTCATCCAATCCGTCTTGGACTAGCCCTTAATTACTCCGTTTACTTCTATGAAATCATGAATAATCCGGCTAAAGCCTGTCAGTTGGCGAAGGCAGCATTTGATGATGCTATTGCTGAGCTGGATCAATTGTCTGAAGAGAGTTACAAAGATTCCACCCTGATCATGCAGCTGCTTCGAGATAATTTAACTCTTTGGACGTCTGATGCGGAGGGTGAAGGTAAGCACGTGACACGTGAATTCATGAACCAACCTTTCGTCATTTTAGAAGATGCCAAGAAAACAACTGAGGAAAAAGCATAATATCTCGGCTCTTGAATTAAAGACTGTATTGACGCCAAAATTGCTTTTAGGGATAATTCAATTTCGTCCCTCCAATCGATGTATCAATGCCGTGGTACAGTCATCCTTATCAATTTGTATCTTCTCGCAAAACAGAAAGAATAGCTAAGTTGACACATTTTGCGTGTTCAACGGGCTTCGTTTCCGCGATAACTGTTATCTATTGCACCAAACGTCCACTGTGTTGCTACCATACCTAATAGATCGCACTTGCTCCGGTATTCCTGAGTGATTGCGCGCATAGTGTCCGACATTTTTCTTGACTTCACTTGCAGATACTTCATGTTGTGCGAGAGTCATTTTTAGCAGTCTCTTATGTACTGTCCAGCTTGAGATCATTCGCTCACTTTTCTTTCTGTTTCTCTATATGCGGGTTTTCATTTTTCAACCCTGCATCCAAGCGTCGCATTTTATGATGCCCTTTACTTCCTTTTGAGCATGTATGTAATTTCATTCTCTGCTACTGAGTTTGCAATTTTGTGATGCCAGTTCGGCACCTAGAGGAACGTGATGTGAGAAAGGTTATTGTCTTTTGTTGAATCGTGCAATCTATTCTCGTGTTTTTCTGTCACATGTCTCGCTATCAGTTCCACAGCTGACTTCAATGACTTGAATTAGAAGCGGTTGACATTCGCCAATTGTGGAGTTTGACAGTTTTTCTTTCTGCTTCAAGATTTTGCTTTCGTTTGTTTTCTCCTAAGTGGATTCACCCGTTGGTTTTTAGCAGTGTATATACCTGGGATGGTCATTACCATATTTTGGTTCCCCAGAATTGACTGTAATGTTGCCATATAGCAAGCTACTTTACGGTGTCTAATTTTTCGTATTGTTAATGCACAGTTTGATTTTGTCGAGAAGGGACGAAATGTGAAGCAATAGATGTTGAATCCCTCTCCATAGTTTGTGCACACCTTATTCTCCGATAGGATTCCGCATGATTGTAGTTTCAGGTTTTGCGTGCGTGCTACGGGTTGCATCATTTTGTTTCTGCTACTTGGGTATGCCTTTTGAAACGATCGTATTCGCGGGACACCTTGAGGCTCTTCCGCACTAGGGTAGAGGGATCTGGTTATCAGGTTTGGTTAATTGAATGTCTGGATTGTCCCAATAAGAAGTTCAATCCAGCTTCGTTCAAATTTAGGATTGCTTCTATGCCCGCTAGGGTCTCGTTTGTTCCGGCTCTTGAGGAAAGTCTACTTGCAGTATAAATCAGTAAGCCATCATTATCTCCTTGGGAGAACGTACACGTTTTGTCGCAAAAGCATGATTTATTGTCATTACCATCGAACTTGGGCCGTCTGATCTAAAGAATCACGTTTAGGCTCCGTTTTTGTTCACTGTTTGAGCAAATTCGGTCATGAAGCTAAATTTTATCTGACAGGCTTTCCAATGTTATTGGTCATTTTATTATGTGGTACGATTTATATCCCGCTATCTCTATTTCGGGTTAAAGTGATGCGAATCTCCTGGGTCTTATGGATTTTTTCTAACGCGTGGATAAATCTCGTGTTATCACATTCTTAACTTCCGGTCCAGTGTCAGCGACATGATACCGCTTCTTGTGACCACTGAAGTGTATTGATAGTTTTATAGTTGTCCAACCCAATTTGAAGGATGCTTTAGGAAAGAAACCTGACTTTAGCCACAGACTAGACCGTTACACTAACTGGCAGCTCAGGGTAGTGATTCCACAGCATATCTCAGGTGTATCAATACATATATATATATATATATATAATTCACCATTCTGAGTCCAAATTGTTTACCAAACAAATCGTGGCACAATGATCGTTTGATAAGGAAAGTAGTTTCATAGTTTGCATGTGGGCGGATTTCTGCCAGGTTGACCAGGTCAAGGCAGGTGAGTCTTGGGGGCTTCGCAACCGTCGCCTTCGTCAAGCCAAAACCTGACCTGTGAGGCAGCGTGGCGTGGCCCATACACCATTTGGAGAAGGTAAAACTTGCAGGGTGCCTAATACACATTAATACCGTGGTGATCCGATTACCACTGTCACAACCAGAATGGTTTGTGGTTCGCGCGCCTCTTGTTTTTTACTACACAGTTTCACGTGATGAATAGCGGACGGGGTAAATCCCGTCATCTCAATGATCTACTGCTTCATTAATGGGGACCGGTGACCTAAACCCCGGGATTTGGAGCGGAAAACCACATGAAGCCCTGATCGGGTAGGTGTATTGGATCGGCCAACAGCAAAGTTGCGTTTCTGNCCTGGATGAACCGCCAATGGCTTCTCGCACTCATTTTTAAGGGGAATACACCGCCACGGGTAGGCAACTAGTAGAGCTTCAGCTGAGGCAAAATGAGACATTCGATCGTGTATAAGCATTTCGGGTGGTGTAAGAGAAGGGCGGTCAGTCAACCCAAGACGCCCATCGCTACCATACTGAGGCGTTTCTAAACGCGAACATATATATATTTATATTAAAGCGTGAGAAAATAGCAAAATATTCGGTGGGTTCTGTTTCACTTCGGTGAAGCCAAAGTTGGTGACAAGCGAGGCTTGCTTTATCGCCCAATGACGAGGTTTACTGAAATCAATCGAGTATTAGGCTATCTTATTGTTACTTCAAATTGTGCATTATTTCGCTTTGTGTATATGCCCTTCATTCGGAGGGAATCACTATGCTGTATGAGAATGTTGAAGACGGTTGCATTTTATTGGTTGTTGGTGTCCTGAGCATTAGCAGCATGATCAACATGTTTTCCGTTTTTATCAGTTTTCTGCCTTGCGTTATTACAGTCGATCGTAGTTTTCTTCTTTCTGGTCAATGTCTTGGATACCCGCAGGGTTGGTCGTCGGATCTTCGAAATTCTCCTCAGATACTGAATTTGAATCCAGTGCACAGTGTAGGTAGCAACTTGAGGTAATTCGAGGTGGTATCCTTCCGTGGAAGTGAAAAACCACTGCTAATCGGTGGCACGTTTCGAGATGCTTCCGAAATTAAGGTAATGATTATCAAGACTACTAGTACGAACGTGAAGCAAAACTCAACAAGAGTAAGATGCCTGTGTTGCTAGGTTTGGTGGCCAGCTGCAATACTCACGTTGCTTTTTGGATAAGTGAAGGTTGAGTGTTGGAGAAGCCAAATTTTCAGATAAAAGCTATCGAGGGTTCACCTTCATGCAAACCGAGACGAACACTAATTTCGAAAGACCCCTCAGCCTGCCATTTTCAGTTCATTTTGTTCAGCTGTTAACTGCACTTTTGTGCAACGGTTTTGGCTGCCCATTTGGATGAAAAAGTAAAAGAAAGGTCGGAGAGTCGAAGAAAAAATGGGGAATTTCTGCAGTCAAAAGTTGTCAAGAAATTGAGATACACTAGCGCCGTTGATTACAACACTCAGATATATCACTCAGTGTCTCCAACCATCGATTAAAATGATCTTGAGGTTCCCATCCCCTGGTTGGGGTTTTCATACCCTCGTGCTAGGTCTTATTTTGAACGCTTGACCTTTTTCATCTCTATCTACTTCGGCAAGCATCGTGCGACGTGGCAACCTATTTGGTGACACACGTAACACACCAACGTAATCTATGGAGGTCGACCACCTGTTCCATTGGACAACCGCGATTACCTAAAACTGCCTAACCTGGGCATTGCTTGTCCGGGTTCCTCACCAGATTCGTGCAATGCTGCCTAGACAGCGGTGTTCAAACACTGGCAATCTATCTTTACCCTATTTCCCTAATGACCAAGCTTCTGCGCCGTATACCAGAAGGGGTCACACTGCTGCAGCATGCACGAACAGGTGGATGTTGCGACGCAGTCGCAGATGTCTTGAGTTGGCAAATGCCAATCGAGCCTTCTGTATGCATGCTGACGTTTCACCCGTGAAGCGTTCACCCGGTGAGATATGGCTAACCAAATAACCAAAGAATACATTTTCTTGCTGCGTGGTTTTTAGTTCCCCAGTCAAGTCCAGCATTATCGGACTCATGGAGGGTACCGCACTGTGGTCAGATGAAGTGAAATCTGCCATTGTTGGTGCAGACATTCATATGATTGGAAGAAGGTCATTGGGAGTAGAGAAAACTTGAAGAAACCATTAGGCTCTGTCGGACCCCAGAATCTTTCTGAGGACGTTGGGCAGTACTTTATCTGTTCGGAAGGCTATGGTGCAATCATGAAGGTTGCCATAGATCCATCGGACAACCTCAGGAGGAAACCAAACAAATAGAGCTTTACCACTGGTCTGTGATATATAAACGTGACCAAGCAGTATAAGAGGCGTTTATCATTAGTGATCGACAAAGCGAAACTAATATTGAGCAATAAAGGTTGGATCATAGATACAACGACGTCATTGATTTGTCTAGTCCGGGGTGGGTGACTAGGTTTGCGGTTGGTCACCCTTCCCTTGCATCTCGCGAAATGCTCTCATACGACCAAGCGTCTCAAATAGTCTCCTGAGGAAGCCTTACTCACTGCCTTCTAGTCCCTTCTTTTCATACAGATTAGGTGTTACATCATCCCAATTATTAGATTGTATCACCGGATATTCATAAAGCACTACTATGGTATTATCTATCTGGGAAATATGCTTCAAAGTGGCGTCTGTGATGCCATTGAATCTCTTCTGTTATCCAAAATTCACTGAGAGAGAGATTTTGGTTTCAGAAAGCTGGTAGCTTCCGGTTGGCTGATCTTACTAATTGGCCGCTGAGTAACATCCCATGAGTGGTGCAAACAGGAGGCATCTCTTAATATTTGGGAGTGAGAGGAAGAACTAGACAGATGAGAAAGAGGGTTTTCCAGATGGTTTCCTAGGACTCTGGGGTAGAACATACTTCACGGTAGCGCACACCAATGGAGGCGTTTTTCTTTGGAAACCCTGAGTGGAACATTCGACTCTGACCCACAAGGCAGTGGAGCGTGGACCCAACGCAGAAGCGTGACCGAAACCCATATTGGGACTTTTAGAGACCTTTCACTCAAGGCCTTCGGGTTTTGGTTCCGTGTATTGTTCGCTGACGTATTGATTGTCGGTCCGCTGTTCGAGATTGACCCTTGGTTTCATGCCCAATGAGGCAAGTGGAATTTCGACGGGGCAGCACCTTATTGGCTTGGGACGCCCAGCTTGGGCGGGTGTTATTTGTCCAAAGAAGTGCGAATATTTCTCCCACCGTCGGGAGGAAGCACTACGTCCAACTACTGGTGGGTTTTTGACCGGTAAACTGCTCCTCCCCACGTTTATTTGCTGAAGTGACCTCTCCAGGGGCAACAGTGGATAGACGAAGGAAGCCAGGTAGTGCCCAAGCAGCTGGTCTTGTGAAACTGAGCTTTGTCTGGCCTGTCCGTATTGACCTTTCAAGCATTGGATCTGCGGCTATGACTAGCCATCCTGTATGACTCAGGGTCGTGGAGGCAGGCATGCCAGGTTAAGGTACAACCTCGTGATGATAACTCTGGAGTAGATTTTTCCCTTGTAGGGAGTGAGCTTCAATCGCCTACACGAAGTGTTGTCAAAGATGAATGTAGAAGCATGAAT